TCTGAGGGGCGGCTACGTGCTCCCGCGCCTGTGCGCAGTGGCTGTGGGTCTCTTTGTTGCGATTCTCCGGGTCATGAAGGATGCCAGTAAAGTCCCCGTGCCGGGACAAACAATGGATGTGGACCTCAGCGAGGGGGAGGACGCAGTGGTAGTTCCACCGAAGAAGAAAGAGCCTCGGGCGGAACTTTCAGGTTCGCCATCGAAGTGACAGGCGCCGGAGGCGGAGGTGGTTACCTTGGAAGTGCTGAAAGGACTCTTCAAGGAGCAAACCAACGAGCTTAAAACTAGTCTCCGGGCCGAACTTGCCACTGCCGTTCAGGCCTCCGAGGACAAGTTGACTGGCGTGGTTGCCCAAGTCAAGCAAGAGCTGGAGACGCAGATCCAAGCTGGTGGTAAGGACCTTGGCCAGGTCAGAGAAATGCAAGAAACATTGCTGGCGAGAGTAACAGCACTGGAGAGCCGAGGAGTGAATCCTGAAGGAGTGTCGGGATCTAGACCGCCGACTGTTTTGTTTGGTGGCTGGAAGGCCGAGACCAAACGAAGTGTCATTGTGGCGGACATCACCAAGGCGCTTGCTAAGGCCGAAGCAGATGACCTGGTGGACCAACGTCCCTGCGTCCCGCGAGCAAGGCTCTCCATCTGCCTTTCGGAGATGAAGCTGAGGGACAAGGAAACGAAGCGGGATAGAGAACTGCGCATGCTGGCACTCATCGCCAGAATCAACGATCCGAGAATCAGTACGCAGAAGCTGGCATCTGGCGGCACATTGTGGGCCACAGTCAGTCGGCCCAAGGCTGACAGGGGTAATGGCTCCCACGCGAGCAAGGTGCGCAGGCTGCTGCGCATGGTCTCGGCTGACTTTGACGAGGTGGATGCGGTGTATGACACGGGGAGTGTCTGGCACAAGGACCTCCTGGTTGCCAGTGTGGAAAAGCCCCGTAATGGTGCTCATGTACGAAAAGGTAAGCTTGACTCAAGCTGGGTCGACCTGGTGGCATTGGCCAAGACTACAGCGAGGCCACAGGAAGACCTGGAGGGCATGTGGCAGCAAATCATGGGCTGAGAGTTTGGCAGCGCGCCGAGGAGTTTTGGCTCTTCGGTGGCACACGCTGAATGCATGGAATTTGTTTCAGAGGGGAACGGTGACTTCCCTGTTGAGCACGGGGGCGGCTTTGTGATGGGTGCTTCAGAAGAAGAACTGGATGACCGAGGCATGGCTCCTCTAGTGCTCCCACTTTTCGACCCTCAAGGGGTGCGAGCACAGCCTTGTGACTTGGAGGTAGGAGATGGTTCGTCTCCTTTTAGTTCTGGTTTATGCGGGAAGGCTCCAGGATGGGGTATAGAGAAGAACTCACCCGTCGACCTTCCGCAGTGTACAGATTTTCCTCGTGAAGAGGTGCTGGTTAAGAAGGAGGAGTGTGACAGTCCCCTACTGGAGGCGAGACCGACAACCCAGTATGCTAAGGTTCTTCCACAAAAGCGCGAAGGGCCTGGACTGCAGCTAACGGGACCTAGGTACTTCCTGCCAGAGGTCGTCTATGCCCCCTCCGATGTTGATCCCAATGATGTCCTCAATGTGCCCGACTCGTGCCCAAGCCAGGAGCGCTTGGATGCAGAAGCTATGCTTCGCCTACATACGTGGAACGTGGCAGGCATGAGCGCCAAGAGGGTCAAAACGCTTGTGTCTCAGGAGCTGGGTGCCGAAGTGATTGCGCTTCAGGAATACCCTAAGCAGGAAGCGGGATGGCAGCTTGTCAAGGGGGAGACCTACCACGGACTGATACACCAAAACTACTTCATGTATCGCGCAGTTGCCATCTTCTACAGGGTTGGGGTCTTCCACCTTGTGGGGAGAGGAGCGAGCGAACGAGGCATGTGGGCAAGGCTGAAGCATGTGGAGACCTCCAAGGAAGTTTGGATAGGATGTCTGCACTTGCCCAACAACCAACCACGGGACGAAATCCAGCGGTTACTGCAGCAGTTCATGCGTGTGAAGTCTGAGCCAGGGTCTACAGGTGCTGTTTTGGGTGACTTCAATACGCAGTTCAAGTGGTCAGTGATGGAGAACATGTGTGTGCCCAGCGTTATTGGTACCAGGTGGGCCGACCTTAGACAAATCATGCCAGAGCATGGGTTTCAGCAGACACCACCACAACCTCACCAGGCAGCCACACCAACATTCCACTCCAGAAAGGCCAACACCTCCAGCACGCAAATTGATGGGTGCTTTGTGCAGGGATTGAATTGTGTGATGAGTGTGGCAGAGGACAGCAGAATCCAGGTGGGTACAGATCACGACAGGGTTGAGATGCAAGGGGTGTTGAAAGGGAAAAGGGCGAGGCAGAAAAGGATGATGGGAGGGGGTCCGATGAGGGTGGTTGCTTCCCCGCCGCCTGTGGACTTCGTTGACCAGCAGACACTTGAGGAGCTGGCCAGCAAGCGCTGTAAGCCCGCGACCTTAGGAGCAAAATTCCGACCCAGCCCCGCTGTCCGTGGTTTCAGGGACATTGCCAGACAAGGGAGGGATGCACAAACAGGCACATAGGCGGGAGAAGGAAGCTTGGAAGGGCGAAAGAATCGAGAAAGCCAGCACTGACTGGCAGCTGTATAAGACGTTGACCAAGGCAAAGAGGGCATGGGGGGATGAGTGCATGGTCAACTCGCGTTCAGAGAATCCAGTGGATGAAATCAGGAAACACTTTGACACTGTTTTCCATGATGGCAGCAAGAAGGACATTGAGCAAGAGCTTATGGTTGTGAGTCAGGGGTTGTGCTTCGACAAATCCGTGAACCCGTTCTCGAAGCAAGAGGTTATTCATGCTATCATGCAGGGTAAGACGGGCAAAGCTACAGGATTAGACGGTGTCCCCACGGAACTCCTCAAGGATATGATGCAGCGTGAACCCTCGGTGGAAGCCTTCCAGGAATTCTTCAACCAAATTCTGGAAACAGGAGATGTACCCCTACAATGGGATCGCTCGGTGGTAACACTGCTGCCCAAGGTATTGCCACCGTCAACCCCAAAGCAGCTAAGGCCAATTGCGCTCGCATCACACACTTCGAAAGCCTTCGCACAATTGCTTGTCAACCGACTTTCTGATGAACTTCGACCCCAGGGTGAGCATCAGTTAGCAGGAAAGAATCGGCAAGCAGCCGACTTCGTTTGGCTTTCTCTTCGTCTCGCACATTTGTGTAGAGAATGGAAGTGTGACTGCTATGTGTTGAAGTTGGATTTGCAGAGGGCATTCGACTCCGTTGACAGGGCTCGCCTCGCTGCTAAGATGTGTGAATGGTCCGGTGCTCACAAACCCTATGAGACCAGAAGCCTCATCAGACTACTTGCTAGTACGGAGCTTCTACTACATCTTCCGTGGGAGGACCATGCTATTCATGCTAATGTGGGGGTGAAACAAGGGGCTACCGAAAGTCCGTTGCTCTTTGCTCGCCTGCTCGATGACCTCATCACGTCCGTTGGTCTGGCAAATGATGATGCGGTTTTACCTGACTTGTGTCATGACAGTACAGTCTTCATGGACGATGTGCTAACTTGGAAACAATCCTTGAAAGGGCTCCAGCGATTTGTCGACAAGCTCCTTCCCCTGCTCCTGCACTTCGGCCTAGTGGTCCAACCAGAAAAGTGTAAGTTGCTGTGTCTCAGGGGGTCCAGAGCGAAACCACTCGTCCTGGGGGGCAAAGAACTTTTTCCGCTTCCGGAGGAGGAGGTGCTCATGATCATGAACCTCCCGCTGGGCCTGGAGTCTACTGAACAAAGGGTTCTGGAAGCGTTGGTGGATAAGGCAAGGGGAAAATTCTTCGGTATCCTCCATATCCTGTGTTCTTCTGCTCCGCTCTCCTCACGGGCTAAAGTTCTTGAGGCTGTCGTCTTTGGATCGCTCAGATGGTGCTTGGGAGCATTAGTGCCAACAGTCCAAGCGCAGCAGATGCTCAACTACTTTCAATACAACTGCATGAGGCGAATGATGGGTATCAAAAGGGGCACAGGAGAAAGGTGGATCGACTATGAGGCTAGAAGCCTGCGACTCGCAAGAGCAAAAGTTTTCCAGATGTCGAAAATGCGATGGGGAGACAAGCACCTCTCGGCATTTTGGAGGTACACAGGCCATTTGGTCAGGGAAGGCCAGCAGAGCAGTCCGTCGGTGGCAGGGATCCTCGCGGGATTTCGGGACCTAGTCTGGTGGACCAGGCAAGGTAACATGTCGCATGGAGTTCGGCATCGTCGCCATTTCCCGTTCTTAATGAACACAGAACGCGTATAGCGAGAACAATAGGGGACAATGCCTAGAGGGTGGCAGCATGCAACAGGTCACAATGGAAAGGGTTCGAGGGTCAGTGGATTGCACAAGAACAAATAGCGTGGGCGTCAGGTAGGCAGCCGTCTTTGATGATGTGAGGGCATTCAATGCATGTGAACTGGGTTTTACAGCTCTGCTGTGAGAAGCATTGCCCTAGCGTAGTCCAAGACTTCAGCCATGGTTGGCGTCACGTTCTACCAGTACCTACATGTGGTCTCCCTTGTGGTCATCTTTGCCCAGGGAGAGGTTCCAAAATGGAATGATGTGAATTTCCAAGGGACAATTTTGCAGATGTGGCTCACTCGAGACGAGCAGAGCATGGCGCCCCTCCTTTGTGCTGAGGGCGATGCATGGATGAATCTTTTGTCAAAAACAGGGCCTCCTCGAAATGACGAGGGAGACCTACTTGGCAGCAAAGCCAACGCATGGTGCGCAACGAAGAAGCGGACCGCACGTGCTTGTGCCGTTGCCCATGCTGGAGGACGAAGCAGGGATCGAGTAGCAGGCTGCAGATTGTGGGTAGCCAGTGAGGGCGTGGTGGCCGCGAGTCATGACAAGGGTCAGGGTCAGGAAAAGCTGAGTGATAGGCACCTGAGAGAGGTTCAAGGAAGTGTGCACAATGAGGGGGAGAACCCGCAGCCTGAGGTAAGCGAACAAGGGGAACATGACAGGATCCTTGTGGTTGACATGGCACTGGTCCTGCACTGCCCAGAGCCGCAGGATGAAGTCGACGGGCCTGCTCCGCTCGAGAAAAAGGCTCAGGGCAATCTGGATGGCCCGTGGTGGTCCCGACATGCTTGCGTGCAGCTCAAGGGGTGCACCTACATGATTGCCGAGGGCATGACCAAGTACCTCACTGACAGGGCCGCCCAGAATCGGGATCGCCGGTGACTTTTGCGTGCCGGTATGAGGTCGTACGGAACCACGAGGGCGGGTATGCAGCTCAGCTGAGGTTCAAGGGAGAGGGGACGGAAGTTGAGGAGACCTCATTCATGCAACGAAAAAGAGGGCGCTCTCCAACACCGCGAAGGAGAAGACGCCGAAGGGAGGAAAGGGAGAGACAGCGAAGTAGACAGGAACGAAGGCACTCTTGGACGGTGAATGCGGGAAGCTCTACAACCTCAAGCCGGGAGGTGCCACCTCGTCCTCCCGTGCAGATGGGCGAGAATACCATCTGGTGGAGTGAACTTGTTGGCCTCAATGACCCGATGAATGATAGCTCCACCGTGCTCCCGGACCAGACTGTGGACATGATCATTACAAACATCAGGGAGATGACGGTTGAGCATCGAACTTATATGCTCTCGGAGCTCATCCCGTTTGTGGCCGCTTTCATGTCTGAGTTGCTAAGGGCCGTAGCCACAGGCATTGAACAAAGTCAGCAGGAAGTCGTGGAGGTGCCAGTCGAGGAAGAAGATGAATCAAGCAATACTACTACAACATCCAGGGCTGCAACTCGAGGTAGGAATGGCTGACAGCACCGCACTGATGCAAATGCACTACGACCCTGCCATCCCTTTCGGCTCCCGACTCTCCCAACTCCAGGGGCAGCTCAATGGCATGAGTGACGGGCAAAGTGCGCAAGTGGCGGTGCACATGCAGCTGATGATAGGGCGCCTCAGACAGCTGGCGGGCGATCTCTCGCGCCAGCACAGGGATCGCTTCGAGCGTCTGGAGGCTCGGCAACGGGACTGAGAGAGCTAGTGGAGCAGCCAGCTCTACGGATGTGTGGTCTTTGACGACTCCAGCGCGGTAGTCACCGATGACGTGCCAGAGTATCGAGTTCGACGGCACCCTGATGGCCCCTGGGTTCCGGCCACAGATCAGGAGGCTGCAGAGTTCAGAGCCCATGACCAAGCAGTGCAGGAAGAGGCTGCTCAGCAGGCACAAAGGGATGAGGACAATTACCAGCAGCTTGAGGCGGCGATCAGTCAGCAGTGGGATGACTGGGCAATGCGGTCGGAGCTTGACAGAGAATCACCGCTGCCCAGCAGAAAAAGAATGAGGGTGGTCATGAATGTTGGGGACGAAGCTGGCGTTCAGTTGGGGGAAGCCCATGTCGAGGGCACGATGGACGCTGGTGGAAAGCCGGTCATCTCCTTCCAAGTGGTTGAGACGTTGCTCGGCACGGCTGAAAACCCCAATGCAGAGCTTGGACCAGCGGCCATGGCACTGCATGCCAATCCGCAGCTCGCAGACTTCAAACCAGAGAGCATGCCAGGAATGTCGGAGTCGATGAAGGCCTTCATGCAGACGCGAGAAGCAAGGTACTGGCTGCGTCAGTTTGCGGAAGGGATGGCATCGGACGAGATGATCTGCAGCCGCTTCGGAACTGAAGTTCTGGAGATGTTCCAAATGTGGGTGGCTATCAAGGACGACATGGATGTGCAGGTGAGAAACTGTGCAGATGCAGTCCGCCACATCGCTGACACGGTCTGTGAAGACGGAGGAGAGGACTCGGATGCGAGTACCGTGGCGGCTGGCAGGGAGGCAGTGGAAAACGAGGGTGAGAAGAAAGGCTACATTGCACCAGTGGTGGAAGCAGCTGGGAGTAGGGCTGATAGTCAAGAGGAAGAACATCTACAGCATGAGGGTCGTGATGAAGGTAATGTCGAGCTTGAGGGCACGAATGTGGTCGAGGATGAGCGTGTGGCCGTGGCGTCTGTGACCGGAGAGGAAGAAGTCCAGGAAAACGAAGGGGCAGAGCACGAAGCGGCTCCAGCAGTGTCACATGGCGAGGTGGAGGACACAATGGACCCGCTCACTGGCATCCCCTCCAAGTGGGCGGAGTTCTGGCGCGCAACAAACAACAATGCTAGCATCGGTGTTGGGCTGCCAGATCCTGTTCCACCTGTCCACCACGCTGCTGACAGCACCTTGAGTGATGGCTTCGGAACCCTGCCGGGGAATGGCGCCGAGACTGCAGATGCGGAGTCGGTCGCGGTGGCAGCTGCTGCGGCGTCGCCCTCTGAGAATCGTGCGGCAAGCTCTACTGACGGCAAAAGACAGCTGGACCTGAAAGGCTGGCTGAAATAGGGATGCTACCTGCTGCTTTCAGAGGGTGGCAACAGTTGAGATGTAGCCTGTCTTTGCCAAAGGGTGGAAGTCCTGCAGTGGAGGCTGCTCTGTGACTGCGTCTTTGAGTTTCCCTGGGCCTGTGAGTCAGGGATGTAGGTGGCCGTGCATTTGGCGAATGCCTCCTGATTTGAGCCTATGTTTGGGAGTGTTTGGTGGTAAGGGCCAGCTCCAAGGGACTGTGCTGCAAAGCATTTCCGTTACCTTCGGGCGGCGGAGAAAAGGTGCAAAAAAAAAAAAAACTAAACCGAATATGTTAAGGGTTCAGATTTCAGGAGCAGAGACTTGATACTACTTGTTGCAAACTGTGTCGGCTTTGGAATTCAAAAAAGTCCAATAGATCAATATTGGGCTATATTTAGTTGATATCTAGACTCGTGAGAGTTGTCTGGTCCTGTGTTTGGATTTTTGATGTTAGCGGTTCAGACTGCAGGAACAGATACTTGACAATACTTCAGGCAGACTATGTAATTTTTTGAGTTCGAAGAAGGCCAATGAATAATTTTTGGAAGAGGCATCCAGTGTCATGTTGGGTTTTGGATTCAGCATGAATCTTTCGACGATGTGTTAGGGTCTAGATTGCAGGTGAGAATACTGGATAATACTTTAGATAGACTATGGATGTTCATGAGCTCAGGAAAAGTTAGGTAGTGATTCTTGGTGCACATTCTAGTAGTCTTCAAGATTCGGACAGGGTGTTTTGATGCTAGGCTAGGGCGTGACTATTAGGAAATCGTATTCGATAATCCTCAAGGCATAGTATGGAGATTGCAGAATTTCAGAAAAGGCTATGATCTAGTAATGTGCATTTGAGAATACTGGATAATACTTTAGATAGACTATGGATGTTTGCTAGTTCATGAAAGGTTAGTTAGTGATTCTTGGTGTATATTCTAGTAATTTTCAAGATTCGGGCAGGGTGTTTTGATGCGAGGCTAGGGCGTGATTGTCAGGAAAAATACTATGGAGATTTCAGACTTCAGGAAAGGCTATTATGCAGTAATGTGCATGTGAGAATACTGGATAATACTTTAGATAGACTATGGATGTTTGCTAGTTCATGAAAGGTTAGTTAGTGTTTCTTGGTGTATATTCTAGTAGTTGGCAAGATTCGGACAGGGTGTTTTGATGCTAGGTTAGGGCGTGAGTATTAGGAAAACGTATTCGATAATACTCAAGGCATAGAATGCAGATTTCAGATTTAAGGAAAGGCTATTATGCAGGAATGCTTGACTATGTAGAATGTATGCTTCATAAAAAAGGGAAAAATTAGTAGATTTCACTGCGCAGGCCATGGTTTCCTAAGAAAAGGTAGGTTTGGGCGGGTAGTATATTTATATATATATATATATGCATATGTGTGTATATATCCGGCTTTAGAGTTTAGGGTAATTATTCCCCACCCACAGGGTTTGGGGCTCAGGGTCCTGATAGACCTCCTTTGCGAGGATCCCGCTACCACTTGCAGATAACGAGACATAGCAATGTCTGGAACCACAATGGACTGATCATGGAACATAGCCTTCTGACATATGTTGAGAGATCTGCAAAACCGATTATCCACTTCGAACATCTCCACCCTTTACATTTTGGTGGTTTGAAGGCATCATCAGTTACTTTCAGCAACGATATGGAGCGTGTATCATCGATGTGCTTCTGAAACGCTGTGCTAGCTTGCAAACATAACAGCAGCGCCGTCCAAGCACTCGTATACGGGTTAGTTGAGCAGTTGTGCATGATTTCCATTGTTAATTATGTTTATTCTTCTTATGTTCTTCTTATTCTTTTTCTTATTACTATCATGATTAATTCGTTATTATTTTAGCATTCCATATTTAATGTTATTGTTAGTAAGATATATTATATTAATATTGTGTAATATACTGAAATAATCTTCTGGGGTTGGGCAATGCAAGCTTTGGGGAACTGTGGGGATGCTTTGCGGCTGGACACTGCAGAAGTACTATTAGGGTTTAGGGTTTAGGGTTTGGGCTTTAAGGTTTAGGGTTTAGGATTCTATGCATTTGCGCGCTGCAGGGGTATTCTGCGGTTGGGCACTGCAGGGAGATTCGGGGATATATAACCCATTATAGTAGTTTTCATTTTATTTTCCATTATCCCAGTATTACCCCCAATATACCATAGTAGTTTCCATTTTCTTTGCCATTATCCGTATAGGATACCTGCGGTTGGATATTCTGTGGTTGGGGAGTGCAGGGATTGGCACTGCAAGGGTAATGTAGGTGCCTAAATTATTACCAATATTTTGGTTCCATATTCCTTGTATAATTGTAGTATATGGTACCTCAAATGGACCTCAAAATCATATTGGTAATTATGTAGGGCCCTGTAGTACCATTCTGGGTGGGCACTGCCGGAATACGCCTCTTTTGCATGCTCTGGGTTGGGCGCGCAGGGATACTGTGCGGTGGGGACTGCGAGGATATTCTGCGATTGGATATCATGTGGTTCGGCACGTGGGGATGGGCTGCTGGGTTACTCTGCGGATGTTTTGCGGTTGGGCATTGCCGGGATACGTGCAGTTGGGCACTGCACAGAGGGCGAAGAGAATATGGACTTCGCGAAAGCTAGCAATGCGGAATCACGGACCCGTGTTTAGGACAAAGGAAGGGTAGGGACTTGTTGGACCTAACTTCTGGAAACGCTATAGATGCCACATATCCCTGTATAATACCTATATAACTGCTTAGCAGCCCAAAACCTAAGGTCCGAACTATAGGCATCCATAGGGTATACAATTGACATGTACAGGCTCAAGGGCCCGTACTAAGCGTCCATAGTTCCCAACTTAGACGATATAACCCTGGTGATTGAGAACTAGAGAGTGCTATGTCAGGTTGGCTGGCAATGAGTGATGCCGGATACGAGTGACTGGGTTGTTGTTGAAGGGCATCCTGCATGAGTAGCTATGTAGGGTTATATGGGGTCGTACAGGGACATCTGGGGTTTAGGGTATAATGATGGGTAAGCAAAGTGAAAGCCGCGCAGAAAGTTAAACGATAACTATGATTATTTCGTGTTTCATTCGGGGATACTATAGTCCCCAGCATATGAGAGCACTGGATCCGCCTTTTGGAGTCTGGTATGCTGAAAGAGGAATACCATTTTGATTGGTTCAAACACACCCCATTGTTTATGTCTACCTGCACCCGCGGAATGACTTCAGCATCATTTGAAATAGTAGGTTGTCAAGATGCTGGACCATTTTCGGGGGGTCCCTAGTACAATACGACCCCACATATTTAGGGCACTCCAAGAAGGGACACCCTGAATCCTAAACCCTAAATCCTAAATCCCTAAACTTTACATCCTAAATCCTAAGGTCTAAACCCTAAGCCCTAAACCCTAAACCCCAAAGCCTCAACCATAAACTCCTTTCAAGGCGCGAGAAAGTGCGAATTGAATCTGCACACCTCGGTGTCTTTGTTGGCATCAGCGGCTCCGCGACTAGCCAGAATGGCCTGGGGGGTCCCTGTAAAGGAGTTAATGGGAAAAATATCAGGTCCCTTTAAGGGTGTGTTATAGGGATAGCACCAGGTCCCTTAAAGGGTTTTATACGGATCGTATCAGGTCTGGTCCCTTTAAGGGGGGTTTATCCTACGATATAGGAATGGTATCAGATCTCTTTAGAGGGTATTGTAGGGTTTAGGGTTTGGGTTTTCAGGTTTAGGGTTTGAGGTTTAGAGTTCAAGGTCTACTACGGTCCAGGGTCTGGAGTTTCAGTCAGGAGACAAGAAAATTTGAGGTTTGTGTTTTTCACGTGGTCGCGCCATACCCTACACAGACCTCACGTAACTCCATCCCCCTTGCGTAGACCTCACATAACCCATAGCTCTTACACGAGCATGATAAGAATCTTGTATTGGTGGTGCCCACGGCACTGGCAAGTATCCACCTGGACCAGCTCCGCATAGGGAAGTCTTGAACTACTCTTGCAGCGTTCGTTGCTAGTAGCGAAAGACGGAATGGAAAAGAAAACCCTAGTCCCCAGACCCTTAACCATATAGGGACGATTAGAGGGACTACTCTGAGCACCCGTATACCAGTAAATCTATTGGTATATCCATTCCATCTTCAAGACGTCTTCATTCCACTATGGTGAATCTGAGGTTGCCGGAGACGTGGGCCCGTTCCCTAAACCCTAAACCCTGAACTTCAGGCCCAAAACTAACTTTGAGGGCCCCCACAATTCGCACCTTATAGCGATCACATGACTTGGAAAATGTAGGCACCAGGCATCGTTATTCTCATTGTGAACATTATTCGTGTTCTGATTCTAGAAATTCTTCTTCGAATTAATGACATTACCATGATCTGCCTTAGTTGTTAAGCCTTAAACTCAAAACTCCAAACCCTAAACCCAAAATCCTAAAATC